CCAACTTGGGCCAGTGAAGCAACGTCCTCCACAACTAGATTGAAGAACAAAACGACAGCAACTTGTCTGTTCCCCTTCCCCCAATTCCCCAGCGCTGTTCCCATCCTCCCAATTCCCCAATAACAATCTTTAAAAAAAAATTAATTTCTTGTATTTATTACATCAGAGATTAATTCAAACTGATTTTGAAAATTTACTTTTTTTAAAGTTGACCTTTTCCTGATTTTTATATGGTATACATATTTATTAAACTTTTTCAGTTAGGCATTTAAGAAAACCTTTTTGTTCTGACACTGACAGACTGTCCAATAAGCCTGAGGTCACTGGTGTTCTGATGAAAGATTTTGCAAGTTTATGAATGACCACAGTTGGTAATCAGAAATGCAAGTCAAACATGACATTTAAATGGTTAGTCTCATTAGAGGAAAGAGCAATGACACCAAAGTTTCATTTCTTATAATTTCACCCTTTTCTTTAAATGAAAGAATATAATTCTAATGAGACTTTTATAAATTATAAAGAATATAATTCTAATCTCAATCAATTATATCCTATGGTATGTATTTTTCCAATTGTGCCATCAATTATAGATAAGGTTTTTCCTTCAAATATGACGTTACCATATCTTGGTTGACAGCAAACTGACATCTGTTACACGTATAATAGTGCAATTATTTTTAAAAGGGAAGAGACAAAAGAGGGAAAATACTTTCTTTACTCCATGAGAATCATCAAGAGATATAGGAAAGTAGATCTTTGAAAACATTAATCTCTTATAAATCATATTTGGACTATTTTTAGACATATGTTGAACTTATATTTTTCTGTTTTTCCAAGTGTTAAATTATTGGAAGTCGGGTGGAGGGTAAATTTCATCATTATTTGTGTTTTGAAACACTTGGGTCACTACTACCTATGAAGTTATTCATTTCTTTAAAATAAGTTCAACATTTTCTTGAAAGATGACTTTCACAAAAGGGACATAAATGTGAATGCCAACTTTTATTGAGTCTAAGAAGTGAAACACTTTTTTTAGTCAATGGAACTGAATATTTATAACAACAAACACCTAGACCTCATAGCACTTCCCTCTGACTAGCACACTGTGAGGGACAATGTATTCCACAACATTACTTTTATTGTCACTGAATCTTCTGGGAAGAGTAACCTGCACTCACTGTCTTAGATTCCTAATCCAAGCCACTGACCAAGCCACTGCTCCCCAATGTCAGACTCCACCTCCACTGAAACTGCCTTGTTAGTTAATTCCTACTCACCTTTCAAGATTCAGGTCAGTAGCCAATTTGAGGAACCTCTTTGCTCTCTTGGCTGAGCTTAGAACTGCTCTCTAAGTTCAAGGCAATTTACACATACCTCTATCCTTGCACTTATCATAGTAATGAAAAATATCTGTTTACATCTGTCTTTCCTACTAGGTATAAGTTTCTCAAGGTGAGAGACTTTTTATTTACTATATCCAACTTCTGACAAAGTGCCTTGGACATAAAAGATATTCAGGAAATCTTGTTGAATCAACCTGACTGAATATCAATGAATTCACACTTTAGTGGGAGAGACAACTTGCCAACAAACAATTGAAATTTAAGATCAGTGCTATATAAGATGTATGCACAAGGGATTATAGAAGGTCCAAGAAGTACCACACCTCATCTTCATGATGTCAAAAACTAAACTGAGAAAATGGGTCCTAAGGTCTGAGTGATGCTGTGGTTCTCCACCCAGGAGAGAATAGGATAAAAAAGTGATGTAGAGAAAGTTGAACCTTATACTACACTTATTATTAATGATTTGCAAAACTGTATACCCTGGCTGATAGTGTTCTTTGTCTCAAGCAAGATCTTACCAGTTGCCCTGGAAACAGATCTCTGATACCCACCACTTCTGGGAGATACTCAGTTTGTTATATAGCCCATTTGTACCAGTGCTCCCTGTGGGAACCAGTGCTTGGCCTCTTTGAATTGAAAATGACTGAACACACTTCTTTTGTTAGCATAGACCATCTGGTGGTCTGATAAAATGAGGGCTGTTTGTCTTGGCAGAGAGCATATCTTCCCTTAGAATCAGTGATTATTGAGAGTCTTTTCTTGTTTAATCCAGATAGTTTTAACCTTCAGTGGGCACAAAGATTTCTGCAAAGGAAAAATAAGCATCCAGGTTAGTAAGGAAGACTTGGTACAAAATACCCTGGCTGAGATCCTACTCCTGAAGGAGCAACACTTTGGGTTTAGGAGTCAATAATTAGTGCCTACAAAACACCCTGCCATTTTGCTTAACCATATGCCTTATTCTCAAGGAAGAGAAAGACATGGACTGGGAGCCAAAAAGACCAAAAGTGAGAATGTGATTATGGTCATGGGAAAGGTCTGTGAAGACGGGGAAAGAAGATAGGAAAGCTAGAAGAAGAGTGGGAAAAGGCCTCTCTCTAGAAGGAATTATATTACCTTTTGCAAACATCCAGTATCTTGTATTCATTATGAGAAATATGCAAGTCCTGCATTTAAGAAATTTACATTCAAACTGGGGAGATAGCTTTGTGCACCAAGTCCTGTCAATATGAGGCAAAATGGGACAAATGGACTTATGAAGAGAAGGAAAATTTTCTCCTTCGAGATGCTTATCTCTGAAAAAAATGCTGGGAAGAATGCCGGGGAAACTAAAGGACTGATTATCTTAAAAAAAAAAAAAAAAAGAAAAGAAAAAAATTACCTGGCAACTCCAGGGAACTAGGATCCAACTGTTATCTGTGGAACCATGCAGTCACTGAGGGTGGCCCCAATTAAAGGGAGGCTTCAGGGTTTACATCTTTCATAGTTTCCTTGGGATTCATTAAATACAAATGGCAGAAGTAGATTTTAATGACATTCAAAAACCAAAAACATGGTACAATGTGTCCTATTGCCAACAATCATGGGTCCCAGAGAAGTTCCTGCAGTCTCTGGACCCAGGGGAAAAGTCTGCTGCTCATTAGTGATTCTAGCCCAGGGGTCAAGGGGAACAAATCCATTTGAGCAAATCTGGCGGAAAGCCTGAGACCCCCCCACTTCTGAGAAGTTGTGAAGAAAGCAGACAATGACTTCTGGCCAGTGCTTTTAAACCTAGCACTAGGAAGGACTCTACTGCTCCTCTAAGAAGAGAGGCCACAGAGCTGCCCTGTGTACAAGATCGCTAATATCTGCAACTTCCCTGAGGAAAACATCTTCATTTTGACATCCCTCATACCTGCTTTTCTGATATGTATATCTTTAAATAATAAACAGGAGAAACCCATTTCTGTGTCCCAAATAAGGCAAAAATAAGTTAGAATTGGCTATGGCTACGGACCACCATTTCTGGCACAAGGCTGATAATGAAAGTGGTCAGACCACAACCTCACCATCACCCCCATCCCACTTTGTTGAAACCATTCCCTGACTGCTTCTGTAGAGGCTGGGCTGTGGAATGCTGGCAAAACTGCAAGACTGTTTGCTCTACTAATTAGATTGACAGCAGAAAGCAGTAGAGTAATATTTGAATGTTGATTGACATTGCCTTCTGGTGAGGATAAAGGGGTGAGGAGAACGTTGTAACTAGTTTCCATCTCTTGGTGTCTTTGCAGTTTTCATCTTCCTATAGAATCAAACTATGATGTAACTCAGAGGAAAAGCATTTCTCATTTTGGCTGATCTGCTGTACCACTTCTACTTATTCACATTGAAAAACACCGTGTTTTTGACAAAATATAAGTGCAGGTGTGAAAACTATTTTAAAGCAAACAATTTTAAGTAAAGTGGAATACTCATTTAAAATGATTTTAATTTTATGAATATTATGTTCCAACTCGAAAAAAATATTGCACAATGCTTTTATATCACAATTGTTATTTTTCTCACTCTGGCAAGATTTTGATAAACAAAGTTGACTTTGGAAATAACACAGAACATCTTAATTGGTTAAATAATTTCAATAACCTGTGATGAACTGAAAGCAGGATATTACATTCATATAAAAGACAAGTACATATTCATAAATTCACTTGGCTATGGTGAAAAATAAACCTCATGTACTTAATAAAACTTAAAGGAGAGAAAAACTGAAAATGCTGTGAAAATAGAATGTAACTCCAAAATTTTTCAAAGTACTCTTGTGCTTTTGAAAATCCATTATATCTGCAAGACTTCTAAGAATATCTGATCACATCGTAAGCCTCTTATATTGGAGAAGCTAACATCTGATATTTTTAAAACAAAATCTCAATTAAATAAATACAAATCTACACTGTTAAAATAACAAAACCTGTGAATGGTAAGGTAAAATACCCAAATAACATAAACCAAAAACAACCCACCAGAGCGGGTGGCCAGTTAGCTCAGTTGGTTAGAGCACAGTGCTCTAACACCAAGATTGCTGGTTCGATCCCCACATGGGTCACTGAGTTGCGCCCTCCACAACTAGATTGAAACTACTTGACTTGGGAGCTGATGGGTCCTGGAAAAACACACTGTTCTTTAATAAAATTACAAACAAAAAAAAACCCACCAGAAAATAAATATCATATCATGGCACCTATAAACATTTCTAATCAAACGTATGACTTTGCAGCATTTTCCTTATGTAACAAACATGGTTGTCATCATGTAGTTATGGTGTAAATGCTGAAAGTTTAAGAAAACAAAATAGTAATGGTCACTAAGTAAAGTTAATTCCATGAAACTCTCCCAATTTATATGAATTTATTACAATTTTTATTGTTTTTCATCTTTGCCCTCTAATTAGTATTTTTAGCAGAGGCGTAGCACTGGAGGTCCAGAGGGGGATATATGCTTCAGGTGCCAGTCGTTTTTTTTAAACTTCTATTATGCATTTTTGTTATTTTTAGAATCGTTGTTCATCAAATTCATGAACACATCCCACTTTTGCTCTATTTTTTATTCATTTCAAGGAAAATTCAACCATAGCATAAAGAGAAAGGACACAAACATAGTACATTGTAGTACATTGTCTTATATACCACCTACTCTTGCTCTGCCACTGATTTTTAGAGGCTGTGAATTATGTCAATAGCATTGGTGTCTCTGTTAATGCTTAATCTAGATATTCCACCCATGAATTTTTTTTTATGGCTGTCCTACTATGTAATTAATTCTTCACATTTTGTAAACATTCCAGGCATCTAACATTTGGAATATTTATTCTACCCACTATTTTCATCAAACCCTAATGTTTTATGAAATACTTGAAAAAAATCTCTGTAGAAGATACCCTCAAAAACACATATCAAAAATAAAAGGGTAAAATAATGGATTAGTTTGTGCCTTAAACTGGAAATACCAATTGTGATTATACTTCAAAAAATTATTATTCCATTCAAAACTGATTCTCATTCATATGTATGATTGGAGATTTACTTAGAATGAAAGATATAGAAATTATGTGAGCCTAGAATGGTGCCAGGTTTGCACGTGGGGGCAATTTTTTCAATTGGATGTGGATATTGGTATATTGACTACTTATGATCTTGTTTGTTTATTCATTAGATAAGGACATAACTCTTTGGTGTTTTCTGTTTGCTGTTTTTAACATTCTATTTTATTTGAAAAAAATTTTAAATTAATTTTTACTAATTTTACTCATCTGTCACTCTGACTCCATTTGGGTTTAAACAGAGGAATTAATCATAGCATGGTCAGGGCAAAACTCAGTGTCCAGCTAAATGATTCTGATTGCACCATCATCCTTACTCTGCATTGCAAGTACCAAAGTTCATTATAAATTCAGGAGAAAAGAAAACTTTAGACCGAAATACATGTAAATTACTTCTAATATTTTAAAGTCAAGATGTTTTTAAAGCCTTATTTTCTAGACTTTTCACTATTAGTGTAATAAAATCCTCATAAGTTGAAAAAAAGTTATTTACTTCAAATGCTAATCTGTGATATATCAGAATATTTTTGCCATCAGAAGTATAAACATTGGCAAATAGAGAACTGCACTGTGAGTGAAAAAATATAACAACACTATATAAAACCCTTTTCTAATTGAAAATGTCATTATAGTTCAGAAACGATGCAGAAAACAAAATCCATAACATTTTTTTTAATCTTCACACATATACACTCTAGTTTTCTCAATCTGTAATCAAAAGCCCTGCAGGTTATGTGATGCATTCACAATCATTCAAGCTAGGACAAGCCTACTGTAGCATTTCTTTTACTTACAAAAATCAAAACTAATTTTACATAAAATACAGTTATTTAATTTGTAATACCTACTGAATATGGTTTGCTAATTCCACAAGGTATACCTTAAAACCTTATAAAGTTACATAGAGGAGAAATCCAACATACATTTTTCTATTCCAGAGACCCAATATGGAGTCCCCTGTGTACAACCTGTAGAACTGGAGAAATGGGCCAACAGTATTATTTGTGTGGTTTTTAGTTATCCTCGTGACACTCAGAAGCATACTTTCTTTAATCTCAGATGAAATACATGGTATATGATTTCTGTGTTCAGAAACCAATGTGTCAAATCTTCATTTATCTTTAAAGAACTTACTGAAAACATGTCTACATTAACAAGGTCTTTTAAAAAAACTTATTAGGGTTTCAAGTACACTTTAGATGCACATTTTCACATAAATCTAAATTCAACAGCAGCTCTGACACTGAGATTTGAGTAATGTGTGTGCTTCTTATCTTTAAAGAATATATTCTCCAGTCTATATGTGGTTCTGAAAACCTGTCCAAGTGCTATCTATCAAGAAAAAAAAAAGTTATCTGTCTTGGGATTTCTCTTATCATTTTAAAAAGGATGTTGATACTTTTATCTAGTTCAGTTTTTATTTTCAGGCTTTCATTTAGGTAGATTGTGAGAAATATTCTTGATATCCTATTGTATGTAAGTCCTGTACATATAAGTAAATAATGAAAACAGAAATTTAATTGAACTGTCAGTTGAAGCTGTTCCTATAATCCTTACAGGTTAAACTCATACATCTCATCTTTTATTAATTTGTCCCAAATGAAATCAATTCACCCAGAGTTCTTGGCACAGAGCTATTGATAGAAAGAGCAACTTTAGAAACTGGCTTTAAGTATTTACAATTGAACTTTAAATCAAAACTTTATTTGTTAGTGTTGACCCATCATCAGAATCACAACATGGTACAAGCAATAATAAAACCTCTTCCAGAATCTCCTGTCTCAATTTTATGTCTTGAATTTACCCCAGGAAATGTAGTGTTGTACTTTCTTTTCTTCAGAAATAACAAATTGATAAAATAATTAATTAGAGGTTACTGTTTTGAATGCACCAATACCAATATTTTGAAGAACTGACCATGGATTCTACAAATATATGTGCCATAGACTATGAAAAAGGAAACACTTTAGGGGGAAAAAAATCACATTACAAAGTGTATTATAAAAATAAGTTACATAGCATGTGCCCATGGACCTGAAAGCTTTGCAGAAGGAAATTTCTTTTGACATAAGGATTGAATTGCTCTTGCTACCTATTTTCATATTATCAGCAACTCCATTGTCAGCTTTTACAATACATCCTCAAAAAAATTTCACTGTAAGTAGGAAACTATTTCCAGTAGTGATCAGTAGCATGGAGGACCTTAGTGATGATGGAGGGCTGCAGAAATACTATCCTTCAACAGGGTTCAGAGGAAGTACACACACCCAGTATGTGCTTGGTTTACCATTTCATCTGGAGTTCATACGTAACTGGTGAATGATGATGCTTTCTACAAAGAGAAGAAAGATACAGCATTTTCAATTAAACTGAAAAATCAGCAGTTTATGCGAGGATCAATACCACATCATAGATGTTAAACCACAAAACAAGCAAAAACAGGTACATGAGCCCAATAGCTTCTTCTGCAGTTCTCTACTATTCTTGGGTATCCTCTTTATATTGGCACATGTGCTTTACCTCCAAAATTCTTAAAGTTTTTTAGAAACCATGTCTAATATTCTAACAATATTAGATTTATTTTACTCAAGGAAAGAACTGAACACAAACACAGTAATTACTGTCTACAAGCCCCATAGTGGGCAAACAGATTATTTCCTACAAATAACTCTCCCTCTATACTCTTCCTGTTCTGAACAATATTCACATACTTTTAATTTTTTAATGTGTGAATCTCAGTTTTAATAAGGAAATATTCTTACAAAGTCAATAAACAGATGACTCACTTTTGTCTCCAACTGCTTCTTTTTTGCATCATTCTGTGTATGCTTTTAAATCTAAATTCAGTCATAAAAATAAATAAAAAACAGATTGGAGTAGTATTTAGAACACTACCAGCCACATATGGGTGTGTAATATTTATAGTTATCAATTAATTTCACTCTTATCTTAATCTTTATGCCTTCATTTATCATTTGTTTTCATCCTGTCAAGGATTATTCATTGAGGCCCAAACACGCACCCATCACTGTGCTAGGCATGAAACTCCATCAGTGGGCAAAATGAGACAGTCCTGTGATTGCTGAGGTTATTAAGAGCTGAGGAAAGAAATAACTAAGCCTCAAATGGTTTCTCTACCTTAAAAATGTATTACTTCCCTGTCAACACATGGCAATGTTCTAAGTGTAGAAAATAACTTAAAGGTTTAACAATAGCATGAGGAAATTTCCATCTATGTTTTCACTTCAACTTAAAGTATTATTTACATTTTATTTTTACTTAGGTTATTAAAATCTAAATAAACATTAATTAAAGCATAGTATGTCATAGACATATAGATTCAAGCTAATTATGTACAGTGAGTGATCTATCAAAAACAAAATGTTTCTTAATTTGGTTTCATTAACTTTACTTTATGCTGACCACTAGGTGGAGATATTTCCATTCCTTCCTTAGACTTTCCAAGTTGAACTTAGGCTAAAACAGGTAAGAAAGTAAAGTAAAATGAAATACATAAATCTTGTATACATTTAATAATATTAAATATGAAGTTTTTGTAAAGCTTTTAAGAAATACATATGGTTTTATCACTATACTAGAAACCCTTAAAAATCATTACCTCATTTTTTTTTTAATGGGAAAATTGGTCTGGCTTCATATTTTTTCAATGCCTAAAAATATAGCAAAATCTTCAGACAAAAATTAAAAACACTAATTAAAATATTGTGTAGTTAAAAATCATAGTCTAAAAAAACAAATCATGGTCTACAATGAAGATGCTATTTCCCACTCAACTCTTTTTCTTTTTAAAAATTTCTGTAGTTTTCAAAAAGTGAAAATACATAGGTCTCAAATCTCACTAATAGAATTAAAGCAGCTTCTCTATTTTTCTCCCTTAAGAAAGCATAGAAAACACAAATTTAAAAGAGTGCAATCCAGAATTGTCCTTATTGTAGATGTAATTCAAAATGCTTGTTTCTTTGTTTCCTCACAACAAAATAAGAGTATTAGAGATCATCCCTAACATCTCTTGTGGGCTAATATTTTGTGTTACTACAATACCTTCTCCCACCTTGAGTGTGCAAACCTCTAAATTCCTAGAGTTGCCTTCTCTTAATCCTAGCATTTTGTAATCTCCATAATAATAATAGCTTTTCAAAATTAGCATTTGGTGAAAATACATATGGCAAAAGGGTCCATACATAGAAGAAACAATGTCTTGGTTGGACCATTACATTTCATTATTATACAAGTATTTAAATTAGCAAACTGGTACCATGCATGGTATACATACTAATCATATTAATCAGATTATGTTATTAAAAAGTATGTCTCAAAAATACTTGACAATGTCAAATAGAATTTATTCTACTTTAATAATAAAAGACGGTGTTTATGTTTATAAACACTATTTAAAGGCATAAATAATTTTAGCTCAAGTTATTTTGTTTTATACATGGAGGCATATTTTATCTTGTTTCTAGAGATATTGAGACAATATCTATATGATAGTGGCTCTCTATTAATTGAAACTTATTAATCATATTTATTAAATCTATGCTTATTTTCTGTTTTTCCCAAATCTATAAACAATACACAAAATTCTGAGAAATAAATTTAAAAAAACGTTGTTTTAAGCCATTACATTTTGAAATGACTCATTACACAGCAAAACTATCTGATGTATATGGAGTCAACAGTGGCCAGCAAAGAAAAATTATTTGGGGATCAATGCCATTATTTGTGTTAAAAAAAAAAAGAGGCAGGGTTCCCAGGTCTCTTTTTTTTCATGATTTAGTACAATAAAATAATGTTATAAATTGTATTGAAGTCACAAAGTCAGTGAGCAAAACTTATTCCATCTCCTACTCTGTCTTCATCTCAGACTAAGACCCAGTTATAGGTCATTTGAGGCCTCTAAAGTGACTTAAGCAAAATAAGGTATAATTCTGTAATAATTTTTCTGACATTCGTAATTTGTAGAATATATAACAGGCAGATTGAGACCAAATGCCATCGTTAATTACCGCCTCTATAAGCAAACCCAAAATAGCAAAGCACTTCAACTTGGGGCCTTCTGATGTGCAGACATCTAATAACATAATTTCCTTTTTTTTTCTAATTGGAAGAAACAAAACAAGCTCTAAACTTGAATCAGCATATATTCATGGGGATATTGGATTTTTATATATTTTTAACATTAACAGTTTACCAAAAGAACTTAATGACATTTTCTTCTATATATTTCTCTCAAATGTTATATTGATGTTTTTTCCTTAAGAAATTTCAGGTACCCTATTAAATATATTATTTGTTATTATGATATATTATGAAATGATGTGGCTTATCAATTCATTCTTTTGTTACACTAGCTATTAGATAACTTCCATAGAAAGAAAGTTTAACATATTATCTATTTCTCATTACGCTTGACTTTGGAACTAACTATTCATCCTCCTTGGGTGGTATACCGAAACCACTAGCCAGCCAGAAGACTTGAGATCCACAAGACAGGATCTGGGGAGAAATTTGCATGAGACTGTTTCTTAAGTGCTAGAGTGTGGTAACCTGGCAACAAATTAGAATTCTGATTCCTCTCAGGAGAGCTCCTTGGCTTTGGAGTAGGAAAGATGTACTATTCCTTGGAAAGCCAATGCCTTCCTCCCAAGCAATGCATATGTTTATGCTCTGCCAAATACTCTGCAAGGGAACACTTGAGTTCTGAATTTTAAAAATCTACTCTGGTAAATGAGACCAGATCACTTTAATAGATAGACTCTACGTTCACACACCAAAGACAAAGCATAGCAAAATTTCAATGTATCGCAGGAATTTGCACCAGCAAGGGAGGGCTGCTTCATCCAAAAGAAACTGCACACCAAGTTACAGAAAACATTTCCAGTTGGATTTTGCATTAATTTAGCTCACTCATTATGGCCTACTTCCCATGTCCCATGGCTCCCTACTCCCCAGGGGCTCTGTCTGGGGGGTAAGACACAAGCTTAGGGCTGTGCTGTTCTTCCTGTCCTCCAGCTATCAAAACCCAGCTTTGTACTTGCTGCCCCAAGAGTAATTCATCCACCTGCAAAAATGTTCTACATTCTGTATACCTTTTAGATGTAAGAGTGCCTAGATAATGTTTGCTTTTAGGGTTCTCATTTTAATAAAGTGCTTCAGCATTTAGTCCTGTTATTAACACATTCAGAAGTTAATTAGAGTTCTGATGAAACATCTGTTTTAAATAGGAAGTCCAATAAACTTCCTCTGTTGACTTGGACTTGTATTCCTTCTTTTGGATTCAGTTCAGCTAATTAAAAATACTTCCGCTAATCAGTTTTGTCATTTGTTTCAGGAAACTTTTGAACCAGATGATATAAATTCTCTTGGGGTTTCTCAACCACCTAAAAGTTTATTTGCTTCCTTCCAAAACATTTCCCACTCCATCATCAGCCCAAATCATCCCCTTACCTCCCCAGGTTGCAGAAGTTACCAATAACCACAGTTATGACTGGTCACTTCCTTTTCAGGCAAGCTAACCCTTTCTCTCACATGTATTACTATTTCCCAGATAAAAGGAAGTTGGAACTAGTTCGTCCACATATAACATCATATATATGCACAATATTTTTTAAAAAACTAAACAGTGGAAAAATAGCTAAGTATTTGAGCCAAGCGTGCTCAGGTTCTACTTTTCTGAACACAGATGCTAAATGCCTAGGATATCTAAGTCTATGACTGGTCACAGGATATCATGGAAAATCACATTATGTGTGAAAATTGAGAAGGACATTGTGCTTTTTAGATAAGGGCAACAATATTCATCAAAGTACTGTTAGAACTTTGACATATAGTTTCTATGTAGATATTTCAACACCTCAAAATCCCTTGACAATATTATTTTGGCCTAATGAATGTAGGTGTTTTAGTCTATATAGAATATACACTTTGCTCACTTGAAGTAGTTTCATATGAAATAATGAATAATGTACTGGGAGAAACTGAAGACCTGGCTTCATCATTAATAAGATGGTTAGACATCTCTAAACCTTGAGGTTTTTCTTATTTTGTTTTTGTTTTCACCTTTAATACTAGAGATAATCATCATCTTGACCTCTAAAGTCTGGTTCATCTCTGACCAGCTCTTGACTTTGCAATTCTGTCCATCACACATTAGTGCAAGCAGAGAGGCCAAAACTGCTTTTACCAGACAAGCAAATAATCGTTAGCTCTTAGGAAAAGCATTATGGCAGAATCCTTTAAGCTGCTTGCTAAAGAATAGTGAAACATATCATATTATGACTATAAGAGCGAATGCCAGAATCATAAAAGATT